AAAGAGATCTAAATGGGGTTTGAAAACGCCTTCTTTTGCACAAGATGTTTTCTTTTAACCTTATTTTCGCCTTTAACCGGGAAATCCTCCTCTTAAGCAAAAGTATATTTGCTTTTGAACCAGCTCTTCTCCTTAATCAGGGACGCCTGTTTTTAAACGAGGAAAATGTGGAATAAAGGCCGAGCCGGGATCGAACTTAGGATCCTTTAGTTAATAATCACTCGCGCTAGCGCAGGGCCACGTGTCGTCCCAACAAACGCTTTATTGAATGACTCGTGACTCTGAGGAAGTGCACCACGTGGTCCTTAAATACAAGAGTAAAAGAGAGTTAAACTGCATCTACACAGATGAAGTTAGAATAGACTGCTTCCCTTTACTGAGAAGGCAAGCTAAGCTAGAACTAAAAATTTGAATATTGGACTAGCGTTTCATACAAAATAAAGAAAATATTATATTGTATAACTTCTTCATTTATATAACTTCTTTGTTTTACATTCTATGTATATCTTAAATTGATATCTTTATTCAAGGAGTGAAATTTTTTTACGCGCAAGCCCTTTATATTTTTTCACATCATTATTTCATTACGTAATTATTTCTCTGTTTCGAATTTATTTCGTTTTTTTTTGTAAATTCAGTACTTGCAAATTTTTCGATGTCACATTTCTTGAATCGTGATTGAATAGCTGCTAGGATGCGACGTGAAGCGACTGGCAAAGGCGTTTACTCATCGCACCATAGATGCTCACGGTGACGTGGTGGTTTCACCCTTGAATAGGGAATTGGCTATTTATGCGAGAGACGCGCTGGCGAAGGCCGTGTACGACAGATTATTCACCTGGCTCGTGACTAGACTCAACAAGTCTCTCCAGCCCCAGACCAATCCCCGGCGCAAAATGGTCATGGGCATTTTGGACATTTATGGTTTTGAAATCTTTCAGAAAAATAGGTAACTGCCGAATAACAATTACGCTTAAAGATTTTACAATGAAAATATTATCAGTACCATAAATAATAATTTTAGAAAAATGTACTTTTTCAAGTTTCTACATTTTATTTTACATTTTTATTATCCCTGGTGGAAAAATGTCTCAGAATTTTTCATATTATTAATTAAAATTTCTATGAAAATTTTAAGACTTTCTCAGAATTTTAAGATTTTCTTAAATTTTTTATACGAATTGGAACATTTTTCAAAAAAACTCGGATAAAATAATAATGAAATATTTCAGATTTTTCCCACTAACACCATCTTCGAGAAATCTGAATAAATATGAGAAAATTATTCGCGCAATTTATTAAAAATTTTCATACATACAGATGCTGAAATATTCCGAAAATCCTCATCCAACCATTTCTGAAAGTATCTGAGAAATTTGACATATTTTTTCAGAATTTTTCATAAATTTGAAATATGAGAAATTCTTAGAAAATTTCTGAAAAAATATGAGAAATTTTTTCTCTAGGGATTTCTTATATATTTCTTTATTTTCTATTCTATATCTTAAATTAATATTTTTATTTGAAGAATGGAATTTTTTGACGGAAATTAATTATTACTAGTATAATGTAAATACGGCGACATCAATATATTCAGTTAACGGTAATTCTCTCTTTCGTTACTTCAATATAGCTTCGAGCAGTTCTGCATTAACTTTTGCAACGAGAAATTACAACAGTTATTCATCCAACTGACATTAAAGTCAGAGCAGGAGGAATATCTGCGCGAAGGGATAACTTGGGAGAACATAGAATATTTTAATAATAAGATCATCTGTGACCTGATTGAAGAGAAGTATAAAGGTTAATTTTTAAAAAAATTCCGCCAATTCACATTCGCGATTACACATTGTCATTAATTAACCGTTAATGCGACAGGAATAATATCATTAATGGACGAAGAGTGTTTGCGACCTGGAGAACCGACGGACATGAGCTTCCTGGAGAAGTTGAACGTAAATCTGAAGAACCATCCTCACTACATCAGTCATAAAAAGGCTGATATACAAACGCAGAAGATTATGGGACGAGACGTAAGAATTTTATACTAAATATTAAATTGAATTATGAATATTAATGTCTCGAAATACTGGAGAGAGAGAACTAAATTATTATTCGATTATTTTAATTATTTTATTTTATTTATTTTAATTTGTTCGATTATTATATAAATATATTATCTGCTAACTAATTTTTATTATTTATTGTAGCTATTAATATGACAATTATTTGTGAAATTTGTGCAAAATTGAGAATGTAAAAATAAGCTTGATATTTCAGGAATTCAGATTGGTGCATTACGCCGGTGACGTTACATACAACGTACGCGGATTCCTCGAGAAAAATAATGATTTACTATTTCGAGATTTACGTGAAATTATGTCGCATACAACGAATTCCATCACAAAGGTAAAAATTTAATTTTTCCGTAAGAAAAAAGTAAAAATTTGTTTTTTAATTAAAGAATGACAGTTTTAAAGTTCTCAATTTCGAAAATTAAAACGAAAGTACTTTCTTCTAATTTCTCTCGTATACTTTTCGCGGAATTTTCTTGCAACTTTGGTTTGGTTTCGAATATTTTCTACGTTTTCTTGTAACTTTTGCAATTTCTTGTTGCTTACAGAGTGTATTCGATGTGAAAGATTTAACCAGTAAGAAGCGCCCGGAAACAGCCATAACTCAGTTTAAAAATAGTTTAAATAATCTGGTTGAGATTCTCATGGGTAAAGAACCGTCTTACATTCGTTGCATCAAACCTAATGATTTTAAGATGGCCAGTAAGTAAATCTAAATTAAGTAAGATAAAATTGAAATAAAGCAGTAATGCCCAACGCGGTGTACTTAATTAGGACACGTTAAAAT